TAGTAGTAGTAGTTAGTAGTAGTAGTAGTAGTAGTAGTAGTAGTAGTAGTAGTTAGTAGTAGTAGTAGTAGTAGTAGTAGTAGTAGTAGTAGTAGTAGTAGTAGTAGTAGTAGTAGTAGTAGTAGTAGTAGTAGTAGTAGTAGTAGTAGTAGTAGTTTAGTAGTAGTATAGTAGTAGTAGTAGTAGTAGTATTAGTAGTAGTAGTAGTAATCGTAGTAGTAGTAGTAGTCTAGTAGTAGTAGTAGTAGTAGTAGTAGTAGTAGTAGTAGTAGTAGTAGTAGTAGTAGTAGTAGTAGTAATAGTAGTAGTAGTAGTAGTAGTAGTAGTAGTAGTAGTAGTAGTAGTAGTAGTAGTAGTAGTAGTAGTAGTAGTAATAGTAGTAGTCGTAGTCGTATCAGTACCAGCATACGTAAGAGTAGTCGTAGTCGCACTAACGAAGTGGAAGTGACAAGTCCTGGTTGAAAAGGCCCCGCGGGGGGGCAGGGCGTTGAGAAATGCATCATTGCCGTCATCCTTCGATGAACCGCCCGAAAGTGCCGGAGCCGCGCCTGCGTCGCATAGTGTCGTAATGTGTCCTCCCATTTCATCCGGCACCGTCTGGATGGCCGCATCTACAAGGTGCTTTCGTTTCGCATGGTATCTGTCCAACCATTGTCTCTCCACACGGTCGTGCGCCATGCCCACGACGACGCTGGCATTCTGGCCACGTGCCCTGCCCGAAGCAATTTCCTCGCCCTGCGTTTGCACCCAATCCCGCATGCCAGCGCGATCGGCCAACGCCCTGCTTTTGTACGTTGTGCGAATGATCCACTCGTGCCACGCTTCACGCGGTGCTCGCAGGAAGCCGCATATACGGCGCAACGTGTTGTTCTAGGTGGACTTCAACGCACTGTATTATGCAGCTCTCGGCGTCCAAAAACAAACCCCGTAGAGCACGCAACCCCCAGCAGAAGAGCCGAACAGCTTCAGCCGCCTGAAAACAATTACTCCGACGGAAGAACCCCACATAAGAATCCTCTGGGCGAATCTGGAAAAAGCCATCACCGTCGTCCTCGTGGTTGGTGAGGCGTCCTGGCTGTCTCTTCTGCGTATATTTCCTCTCGCCTTGGCGCGGGCCCCCCTTCCACTCCTTACGTTGTCCCCATCCTCGCCCCCCTGTTTGTTCCGCGCCCCGCCACCTCCTCCCCTTCCTGTTGCATGAGCGCGCATGTCGATGTTCCTCGGCGCCGTCGCCGCCACGGCCAGCACAGGCGCGTTCTCTACTGGTCACGTCGCGCAGCCGTTGGGACAACCCCGCGGGCCAGGCTGTCGGGACAACCCCGCGAGCCGCTGGCGCGCAAGACCAAGCCGTTGGGACAACCCCGCGGGCTTCGAGCGAGGCGCAGCCGCGCTCAGGCGGAAGGCGGCACGAAGCCCAGCTCTGCCGCGAGCTGCTTCGCCTCCGCCCTGGACAAAACCGCTCTCTTGTCGAACTCCAGGAGCGCCTTCCGCAAGGGCGCCGGCGGCCCGCACTCCAGGAACTCTCGCGGCGGCGGCCGCAGGATCAGCATGTTCCGCATGCACGTGGCGCGGGAGAACATGACGTAGAGGTGCAGCCACCACTGCTCGTCCGACATGCCCGTGCGGCCAGCGTCCTCGTCTCTCGCGCAGTCGATGGTGACGCCCTTGCGCAGCGTCTGGCCCTGCGACAGCGTGGAGGTCAGGTAGGACGCGTGCGTCAGGGTGAACCCCGAGCGGCGCACGCTGTGCGCCCCCGAGCTCTGCCATGTGAACTCCCTTTCGCTGGGCCTGAACATCAGCAAGCTCCGCGCCCGCGCCTCGGCCTGGCCGTCGTCGTCGGCGCCTTCGGCGCCCTGTCGCAGCACCTCGGCGACCTCCTGGTAGATCGGAGACTCCTTGAAGCCGTGCACCTGCAGCCAGATTCCTGACCCGCTCGGATTACCAACATGATCTGCGGGCCCCATAGGGAGGGGGCTCCCGCCTGAGACTTCCTCGCAGTTCACTCACAGACGAGGCTCCCGCCTGAGACTTCCTCCATATTCAGGCTTGAGGAGCCCAAAAGTGACGACAGTTACAGGGTTCCGATGACCCGCTCGGATTACCAACATGATCTGCGGGCCCCATAGGGAGGGGGCTCCCGCCTGAGACTTCCTCACAATTCACTCACAGACGAGGCTCCCGCCTGAGACTTCCTCCAAATTCAGGCTTGACGAGCCCAAAAGTGACGACAGTTACAGGGTTCCGATGACCCGCTCGGATTACCAACATGATCTGCGGGCCCCATAGGGAGGGGGCTCCCGCCTGAGCCTTCCTCAGAATTCACTCACAGACGAGGCTCCCGCCTGAGACTTCCTCCAAATTCAGGCTTGAGGAGCCCAAAAGTGACGACAGTTACAGGGTTCCGATGACCCGCTCGGATTACCAACATGATCTGCGGGCCCCATAGGGAGGGAGCTCCCGCCTGAGACTTCCTCCCAATTCACTCACAGACGAGGCTCCCGCCTGAGACTTCCTCCATTTTCAGGCCTGGGGAGCTCAAAAGTGACGACAGTTACAGGATTCCGATGACCCGCTCGGATTACCAACATGATCTGCGGGCCCCATAGGGAGGGGGCTCCCGCCTGAGACTTCCTCACAATTTACTCAACGATGATGAGGATGAGGATGATGAGTGGTGGTGAAGATGAATGGTGAAGAGGATGATGATTGATTGTGAGTGGTGGTGGCGATGATGATGTTTGAATGAGGATGATGCCGATGCCGATGATGATGATGATGATGATGTTCGTGAGCGTGTGAGAGAGTGCGAGTGATGATGATGATGAGTATGTGAGTGACTAAGCATGTGAGAGAGCATCATCGATGATGCTGATGAGGTTGATGATGAGAGAGTGTGAGTGAGTGTGAGTGTGTGTGTGTGTGTGTTCCTGTTCCTGCGCGGGGTGTCCAGAGAAAACAAGAACCCCACTTTGGATGTGGGGAAAAAAGGGCATAGTTTCCTGCTTCAAAAGCACGAATGTAGATCGAACTGTGAAGCGTCCCAATGGATACGTGCCGGAGCACGACCCAGAGGAAGCGCACGGGAGTGCGTCCCAGTGGATACGTGCCAGAGCACGACCCAGAGGACGCGCACGGGAGTGCGTCCCAGTGGATACGTGCCAAAACACGACCCAGAGGAAGCGCACAGAGTGCGTCCCAGTGGATACGTGCCGGAACACGACCCAGAGGAAACGCACAACAGTGCGTCCCAGTGGATACGTGCGGGGGCACGACCCAGAGGAAACGCACAGGGGTGCGTCCCAGTGGATACGTGCCGAACACGACCCAGGAGGAAACGCACAGGGTGCGTCCCAGTGGATACGTGCGGGGGCACGACCCAGAGGAAGCGCACAGGGGTGCGTCCCAGTGGATACGTGCCGGGCCACGACCCAGAGGAAGCGCACAACAGTGCGTCCCAGTGGATACGTGCGGGGGCACGACCCAGAGGAAGCACACGGGAGTGCGTCCCAATGGATACGTGCCGGGGCACGACCCAAAGGAAGCGCACGGGAGTGCGTCCCAGTGGATACGTGCCGGAGCACGACCCACAGGAAGCGCACAGGGGTGCGTCCCAGTGGATACGTGCCAGGGGCACGACCCAGAGGAAACGCACAAGGGTGCGTCCCAGTGGATACGTGCGGGGGCACGACCCAGAGGAAGCGCACAGGGGTGCATCCCAGTGGATGCGTGCCGGGAATAGCGTTCTGGGAACACGACGAACACGAAGTGGCCTACAGTTGGTTCCTCGCAATTCACTCAGAGACGAGGCTCCCGCCTGAGACTTCCTACGAATTCAAGCCTGAGGAGCCCAAAAACTTCCTTGTTGCTTCCAAAATGTGGCCTGGGAACTGCGTTCTGGCAGCGCGAGAACCCAAAATTGACGACAGTTACAGGTTTTGGATGACCCGCTCGGATTACCAACGTGATCTGCGGGCCCCATAGGGAGGGGGCTCCCGCCTGAGACTTCCTCGCAGTTCACTCACAGACGAGGCTCCCGCCTGAGACTTCCTTTATATTCAGGCTTGAGGAACCCAAAATTGACGACAGTTACAAGGTTCCGATGACCTGCTCGGATTACCAACATGATCTGCGGGCCCCATAGGGAGGAGGCTCCCGCCTGAGACTTCCTCACAATTCACTCAAAGACGAGGCTCCCGCCTGAGACTTCCTCCAAATTCAGGCTTGACGAGCCCAAAAATGACGACAGTTACAGGTTTCCGATGACCCGCTCGGATTACCAACATGATCGCGGGCCCCATAGGGAGGGGGCTCCCGCCTGAGCCTTCCTCAGAATTCACTCACAGACGAGGCTCCCGCCTGAGACTTCCTCCAAATTCAGGCTTGAGGAGCCCAAAAGTGACGACAGTTACAGGATTCCGATGACCCGCTCGGATTACCAACATGATCTGCGGGCCCCATAGGGAGGGAGCTCCCGCCTGAGACTTCCTCCCAATTCACTCACAGACGAGGCTCCCGCCTGAGACTTCCTCCATTTTCAGGCTTGACGAGCCCAAAAGTGACGACAGTTACAGGATTCCGATGACCCGCTCGGATTACCAACATGATCTGCGGGCCCCATAGGGAGGGGGCTCCCGCCTGAGACTTCCTCACAATTTACTCAACGATGATGACGATGAGGATGATGAGTGGTGGTGAAGATGAGTGGTGAAGAGGATGACGATTGATTGTGAGTGGTGGTGGCGATGATGATGTTTGAATGAGGATGATGCCGATGCCGATGATGATGATGTTCGTGAGCGTGTGAGAGAGTGCGAGTGATGATGATGATGAGTATGTGAGTGACTAAGCATGTGAGAGAGCATCATCGATGATGCTGACGAGGTTGATGATGAGAGAGTGCGAGTGAGTGTGAGTGGGTGTGTGTGTGTGTGTTCCTGTTCCTGCGCGGGGTGTCCAGAGAAAACAAGAACCCCACTTTGGATGTGGGGAAAAACTTCATG